ATTCCCATTAGTAATGTATAAATTAGAGTCCCATTCTCCATTTATCCTAGAAAATGTCGGGTATTGTAATCCTTTTTAAGTCTTCACCAATTTGGTAGTTGATAAATAGTATATCTTTGATTTAATTTTCATTTCCAGGCTCATTCTCCTGAATCTTTTCTCCATTCCCTTCCAGTCCTCTTGATGCAACCCTCTCCTTGACTAGTAATTCATCTATGTTAAAAACGTAGCCCTTAGGATGGACCAGTTGGCTTTGCTATTCTTTCAATAGCTGTCTTGCATTTCAGAAAGCAGAGATTCTTATCTAAAGACAATGCACCGGGGTTCTTCCCTGGCCTTTCACTGATGATTTTCATTCCTTGCCCGCCTGATCTGCTCCAGCACATCACCCTCAGCTGTGCCTTAAAAGTGCTAGGGCAATTTTATAGCTGCAAGAAGAAGATGAAGGTACAAGTATCAAGCAAACTGGGCAAATTACAAATATACAGAGAGTTTCAGCATTCGTGGCCACGTTTATTTCTCCTCCCTGCCTTCTTACCTCTCCTTTCTCTTTCTCTCGCCTGCTTAACTGACCAGTCCAAGGCTTCTTTTCCTATATATCTTTAATCTTTGAGGAAGCAAGTTCTTTTCTAACTGGCTTAAGTATGTCCTTCACTGATCAGTCAAAATTGTTCTCTTTGCCTCCAAAGGAAGAAACGTCATTCTATAGCTTCCCTAGATGGTTCTCTTGGACCTCCATCTATAATAAACTCCTTTCCCATCCTATAAAAATCAGGTACTTTCAAAAACCCTGCTAAAAAAGACAACAACAAAACACCAATAACAACTTCCACAACAAATAATAATATACATTTCTTAATTACAATGAAAGTGTCAACTCAAACTTTAAAATATTCATAATGTATGTCAATCATCTGGTCTCACTTTTTTTTCTCCAACCTAGTCTTTCCCCAATATCTATTCTTATCAATGCTGCTTTCCTCTACAGTGTCATGTTAAAGTCACCAATCAACCAGACAAGACTCTCCAACAAGCCACTTTTAAATGCACGTCTGCACACTGATGGTCACTTTTTGTTCTTATATTACTGTAACTACATCCAGAAAATCCAGTTGGAGTTTGAATACCATTCCCTTGACCAACATGAACTTCTCCCAAATGTAGTCATGAGTTTAAGGAAGGGGGAGTACAGTTGGTGTTATACTGTTTTCTCCATTCTCACACTCATTTCAGAATTAGGCCACTTAGGAATTCCTATTCCATCATTCCTCCTGCTGACTGTGAGTATGAGTCCATCTTGAAACTTACATTCTACTACTCCGTGCATTATCTGGAGTCTTTATCCGTCTGTCTCACTTTGATACCCCTTAATATAAACCTTTATTGAGTATATACTACATTTCGATAACTTTCCATGCATCTTCTGATTTAATTCTCGAGATCACCTCATGAAGCAAGTGTGATTATTAGCCCTATCTTAAAAGGGAGAACACTAAATCTCAAAGACCCAGCTAGTAAATGGTGGAGACAGAATTTCTAAAATTGATCCTAAAAGCCTAAAATTCATCCCATCAATGACACTCTGCTGTCTCCTCCTAAATCCTCCAGCTTTTTTGCTATTGGCCCATTTTTCTGCATTTTCTTACAGCTCTTTGCCACTCTGACACTTCTGCCTGAAGGTCTTTCTGCATATCAGCTTGGGTTAGACTGAACTTTTGACTTGTCAGGGTCTGTAAGTTTAATAATAACAAAATGGATATACCACAGACTCTTCATTTTGGCCCTCTCATCCCTTAAGGCAGAGACGGCTAAATGGAATTATAAATGGTATCAGTTGTGATGAAAGTTAAACTGTAGCTATCAGGTTCTCCACAGTGTGCTTTTTTAATGACGATAGCTAACAATGAGTAAAGGTTAATAATATATCAGACATTATGCTAAGGTTTCGCATTACGTCATTTGATCCTTACATCAACCCTAAGAGGATGACACCCTTATTATTCCCATTTTATTATACAAATAAGGAAACTGAGATTTGAAGCCTTCCAGTAAAGAGTCCACTTCATACAGTGAACACCTGGCAGACCCATATTTTGAATCCATGTCAGCCCAAATTCACAACCTCCTTTCTTAACCACTGTATTAGTCCATTCTTGCTTTGCTATGAAGAACTGGAACTGGGTAATTTGTAAAGAGAAGAGGTTTAATTGACTCACAGTCCCATAGGCCGTACAGGAAGCATGATTAGGGAGGCCTCAGGAGACTTACAATGATGGCAGAAGGCAAACGAGAAGCAGGCATATCTTCACATGGTGGAGCAGGAGAGAGACGGGGTGGAGGGGGAAGTGCTACACACTTGGAAACGACCAGATCTCCTGAGAACTAACTCACCATCACAAGAACAACAAGGAGAAGTGCGCCAACGTGATTCAGTCACCTCCCATCAGGGCCCTCCTCCAACACTGGGATAACAACTGGACCTGAGACTTGAGTGGGGACACAGAGCCAAACCACATCAACCACTAAAGTACGATGTTTTGTTTTTAAAATAATACTGCTGATATCATAATACCAGAAACTCATGGGAAAAATAACATCCCCAAATTCAATACTTTCATTCATATTATCCAATACATGACCATGTACATACTCAATTTTGTACAAAAAATATAATTTAAACTAAGTAACATTATGGATAGAATTATATTTTTTCTATATTTTCCATTAACATTTCATCCAGCATGTAGCTCTCTGGCAATAAATTTGAAAACCTGAACAAAATAGATGATTTCCTCGCAACATATCAATTACCAAAATTGATCCAATAGGAAGGGAACTTTTGAATAGGCTAATTACCATAGAAGGAATAACAAAAGGCACTAGGATTAGGTGGATTTCTAGCTGAGTTTATGAAATCTTTAAGTGATAGATAATTCCAATGTTATTTAAACTAACCATTGATAATAAGATGGGCATTTATCTAATTCATTTATGTGTACAGTTTAGTGCCAAAACATAATAAAGATGCAACAGAAAGGAAAAATACTACACAATCTCAGTTCAGATGGAATATTAGAAAATTGATCCTGGGCAGTTATTAGAATAATAATACATTATGACCAAGTAAGGCTTATTCCAGGAAAAGCAGGATGGTTAATATCAGGAAAGTTATCTACATAATACATTATATTAAGAAAATAAAGAAGAATAAAACATGTATAAATAATTCAATGCTGACGTGATGTTAGATAAAATTTATTATTCTTTTAAATAAATTTTAAGTAAAAAACGAAGGAGGTAAATGAAATAAAATGACTAAAGATAACAGAAAATATTATCCTAAATGGGCAATATTTAACAATTAAAATAAAAAGTCAGATGGATAGCCTCAATAACTCTGATAATTTAACATTAAGTTGGAGGTTCTAAAAATGCAAAGACTCAAGTACATAACACTGTAAAAGAAGAGCTATGATTGTTTCATAATAATAACATTACTTGCTCAAAAATTCCAGAACTGAAAAAAAATAGAATTTATAATAAGATTTATAAGTTAGCAATAACCACCTTTATATAAAAATAAGAAGAAAATATTTGTCCCCTCTCATCATGTGTTCTCTGCACAGCCAGCTTCCCTTTGCCTTCCTCCATGAGTGGAAGCAGCCAGCAACCCTCACCCAAAGCAGATGCTGGCGCCATGCTTCCTGTACAACCTGCAGGGCCATGAGCCTAATAAACCTTTTTCAAAATAAATTACCCAGCCTTCCTCAGGTATTCCTTTATAGCAACAGATATAGACTAAGATATAACCATTTGCGGGGACAATATAGGAAACGGATGGAAATGGGAAACGCTGTCAACCAAATGAATGCTTTTGTATATGGGAATAGTCGATTACTGTACATCCACACCATGCAGCATTTAAAAAATAATAATAAATTAATGTGAGTCCAGTTAACTAGGATTTTTAAAAAATTTATTATTTAAGGAACTAAGGATTCAGAAAAGCAAATATAAAATAATGTTTAAGAGAACAAAGGCCAAAAAAGTCTATATATGAATATAATTATGACATTATAATCATAGAGAAATATACACGAATATTTTCAGAACACTTTTAACAAGCACTGAGAGAGTATGTGAAGCAGGGAGTCTTACTCACTGAGGTGCAGAAAGAAAATATGTGAAAAAGATAATTAAAGACTGTACTAAAAATGGTATGTATGCTAAGTTCAGGATTTATGTTTTTATAAAAACTATGCCTATGGGCATATGTATAAAAACTTTTTAGAAAAATACTAAAATGTAAAATAAAGATTATTGTTGTTCTAAATAAATGTTGCTATCATTTTCGTGCAGTACAGGTGTCTTATCTCATTTTTCTTCTTTTTAGATTTCTCCTCCTAAAAATGTTTACAACATTGACAGCCTTGTGTGTATCTTCTTTACTCTTCTGGACCAACTGATTGTTATTATAGTAAAAGTAGAAGAAAATAAAAAGAATAATTTTACAGGTTATCATCATTTACATTATGAAGTTGCTCATGCCCTTGGGCCATGTTAATTTAGGGCTATTACGCTTCTTGGCAACAGAAATTTTTCCTACTATAATCGCAGGGGTTGTTCTCAGTTTCCAGAGATGGCACTATAACGTATGTGGATGAGCAATTAAGAACGAGTTACAAATCAGTATCAGAACTCGAAACTTGCCAATCCTTAGTCCTGAGCTGAGGCCTGCGTAACTAAAGAGGAGAGTTTTGTGCATTAAAAGCCACTGGGCCAGTTGTGGAGTTGTGCCAAGACAAATTCCTTACACACAATCCTCCTTCTGAGTGGAAGGACATCAGACCCCAAAACAACTGTTGACCAGTGAGATGACCTGTGACAGGCCAGTGGTGGCACTAACATCCTATCTTCTGAAAATGAAGCAAAGGGAGAGTAAACACACTGTGCTTCCCTTGGCATCGGCAACTGGGCCAAGCTCTTTACTTACATTGATCCATTGAGTCCTCTGTCAGGTATGGACGATTTTTATCTGCATTTACAGATGAAGTACGGAGAGATTATTTCATCCTTCCCCGGATCATGGGAATCATACGTTGCAGAGCTGAGCTTCAAATGGTCTTAAAACTTAGGTATCTGGGCACTTAACCACTAACACTTGCCGCTGCTCAATCTAAACAAAGAATGAAACGAGACAGTCCTAGTTAAAAAGATACTGAAGTTCAGATATGTGAACTTAATGTCCAGCAGCAACATCACCTTAGCAGCTAAACACTGTGATGCAGACACACATTTACTTACCTGAGCAGATTCAGAATCATGAGAAATTTGCTTTATTCGAGGAAATGGAGGCTTTCTACAATTTTTATTTATTTTTGACACTCGTGCATTCCAAGCCACTTTCATTGTTTCCCCCCAATCCTATATTTGCTGTGAGACTTATTTTATCAGTTGCGGTTTTGCCAGCTGTAGTGTTTCTTAAGATTTGGCTAGAGATTCCTGCACTGAGATTTCCCCAAAGTTAATGAGTCAGCACTGATAGGGAAGGAGGTAATTCACTTGGCTGATGACAAACTGTGAGGGGCTCCAGGGGAGAGGGATGGAAACTGAAGGGAGAACTGAAGGTACACAACCCCCATCTGGTGGGGGTCCCAGCACAGAAATAGAACATAACTTTCTCCTGGGAAGTAGCCCTTGTGGTCATCACACGCGACCCTCAGAAAAGCCCTTAACACTTTTCTGCATTAAACAAAATGAAACTGAGTTTTCACTGAGGATTTAATAAGGGACATAGGATACCTAACACACAGCATTTTACTTTTAAATAAATCACATCTCCAACCTGTCTCTTCATTGCCAATTTATTCTCTTACCTGTTTCTGGGCCTCTCACGTGCCTGGGAACCTTCTCCCACTAGACAGGCTCCAGCCTCTTCCACCCTTCAGAAAGTTATCTCCACTGTGCTTCTCATTACTTTCACAGGGCCAGCATTTCAGCTCTGAGGAAAATAAGTCATTACACAAAGGTTGGCTTTGAGCTCAATACAAAACAAAGGATTCCCACGCTATCCAATTCCATTCTCCTTAGAAAATGGCAGAGAAAAATCCAATTTTTCCCTGCTACAAATTTATTTATTGTCAAATATTTTTATATCTAAGAACTATTCATTTATATGTGCTCAATTAATTGAAAAACGAATTTTGTGTACAAGTCTTCCGCTGTAAGTGAAATTTCTTTTAAAAAGCCCAGAGTTTTATAAAGTATAATTATCTCAAGGATGGGCTTTCATGATGCCAGGGTCTTTGTGAGGTCTAGCCCTGATTACTACACAAAAACTGTGTCTTACAGAAGTGAATCACCTTTGGCACCACCAAAATAACCATAGTACAGTGATGCACTTCCCTTTTTCCTGGGAAAATTGACCTGATCAAAGAAGAGTTCTAGGGATGCTTTAAGTAATAACTACATTACTGGAATGAGTATAGAGCCTCAGGTAAATGTCTTGGCACACACAATGCAAATTCGGATATACAGATACACTGTGTTTCTTAATAACACAATCAGTCCTTCTAAATTATGGTCAAGACACATACATTGCACATTCCCTATGAGCAATGAAATTAAGAAAGGGTAAAATACACAGTCATTTGCTGTTAGGAATTTATAACAGAAGAGAATAAAGAGTATAAAAGCATGCATAATTACTCCCAGGAACAGGAAAAAAAATCATAAAAAAAAATCACAACCAATTAGAGGTCCAAATACATGCTAATTGCTGCCTGCTAGAGGTGTCCCACCAAGAATGGCAGGTTTGTCCCTGTGAATGGAAAAAGTGTGAATGAGTGAGAACATTGGTTCTAAAGTAAAACAAATTCTTATCTCACAGGTTCAAATTCTCCAGGCTCATGAATATGACATATTAACATTCATCAAGTGGAACACATTATCATTTTAGAAGGAGATTACTGGGGACTCACTATTTTCATTCTGTCACCTTTTCCAATTAGGAGTCCCACTTTTGCAAATAATCAGCTTTCTGTTGCCAAGGGCTTTTCAGTCGCTTTCTGGCAAGGGGGTTTGGAGCTAAGTTCAACATTCATTTAAGAAACAAGGAAAAATGTGAAGTATGATTATCTTTTTTAAGGACAGGTTAATCTTGCTGCCATGAACCTCATCAGAGAAGAGCCAAATTTTAAAGGGAGAAGGCACAGAGTACTTTTCAGGGAGGGAAACTTGGACAATAAAGGTTGAGAAAGAGTTCATGGTTTTCTTGGTTGACTGCAGTTATTGAGAAATAAATGCACCTTGCAAAAGATCTTGAAACGGAGCAAGCTGAAGTGGCCACATTAGGGAAAACCCCAGTGACGTAGAAATGAACACAATGTGAAAGTGAACACAGGGCAAGGTACTAGCCATCGCTGAAGGCAGAGCAGAGAAAAAAATAATGAAAATATATCTGCATTTCCTCTAGATTAACACTTTAGTTCTAGAGTCAGACATCGTTGCTAAGGTTTATAATATTATTAATGACTTAACCAGATAAAACAGTAGACAAAGATTGGTTTCATTTTGAAAACCATCAAATAAGTTTGATGAATCTATGTTCACTCACCACTAATCTCTAATCAAAGCAGAATTTGTAAAGTCATTAAAATTATTTATAAGTTTATTTAAATTATATACTCATGATTTATTATGAGACTGCTAAGATCCTTATTCTCATAAAAATTTTTAAAAATCTTACTTGTTCTGCCTTTGTATATTTATGAAGAATCACATATACCTGGCAAAACAAAACATATGCTAAAATAAAAGATAGGAAAGATGAGTTTTTCTTCATAATAGCCCACCAGTTCTTTACCCTCCTTCCCAGAAGTAGCTACTTTACTAGGTTCTTGGATCTTTTTCAGAAATAGTATATGCACAGATGTTCTTGTTTCTGCCTCCATAGTTAGAAGCATGCTCTATGCACTCTACTTTGGCAATTTTACTAAAAATCTATTTTGGATACAACTCTGCATGAACGTCTACCATTTAATTCACTGTGGAGGAAACAAACTTCACTAAAGAATGTAGTCAGTCACTAAACAAATAAATAACTAAACAACAATAATGAGCCGCAGAGGAGACTGGGAGCAAGGATCTGAAGTTTCTATATTATCCAAAATGCCCATTTTTAATGTTTTTGCAGACGATACTGGGGTAGAAAATAAAAATAAAATGTCCAGTTTCTAAGACAAAATTATAAGCATGGAAAGAAACATGAGATTCTGACCCAATGACAGGAAAAAATAAGCAGGTAACAAAAGCAGAGTAAGCAGATGTCAGACTTAGCAGACAAAGTAGCCATTATAACTATGTTCAAAGAACTCAAAGAAACCATGATTAAAGAAGTTAAAGAAGGTATGGTGACAATGTCTCATAAAGAATAAAAAGAAATTATTTAAAAAAGAAGTGGAAATTCTGGAATGAAAAAATATAATAACTAAAATGACAAATTCACTACAGATGCTCAAAAGTGTATTTGAATCGCCAAAAGAAAAAAATTTGTGAACTTAAAGATAAATCTACAGATGTTAAACAACCTGAAGAATAGAGAGAAAAAAGAACGAAGAAAAATAAACAGAGCCTCAGGGAAATGCAGAAAAACCTTTTTTTTTTTTTTTTTTTTTTTTTTTCCCCAGAAAGTGATTTTATTTAGGTAGAGAAAGAGAAAAAGGAGAAGAAGGAAAACTCCCATGAAGAGTGTGAAAGGGGACTCGAGGGGGGAAATCCGGCCGGGTATAGGGACAAAAAGTTTTAACCTGGGAGGGATTCCCTCCTTCTTCAAGCCCCCACCCCGGGCCAAAGAAAAGAGTTCCTTTAAACTCCCGCTGGAATGACTGATTTTTGACCCTTTCCCACGGCCACGAAAATTAAAACAGAAACCGTTAAATCTCCCGGATGGAGAGAGATGGGAGCGGGGCATGGAGCTGGGAAGTCTTAACATTGCAGCAACACACACCTACTGGGAGGATATCTTTCATAAATAAGGTAAAAATAAGACATTCTCAGATACACAAAAGAGGACAGAATTTGTTGCTGACAGATCTACATTACAGGAAATACTAAAAAAAGTTACTTAAGATGAAAAGACAGAAATTGGGAAACTCACAAATATGTGAAAATTAAACAATACACTCTTAACATAACCATTGGTTTAAAGAATAAACCACAAAAGAAATGAGAAATATTTTTAGATGAATGAAACAAAAAGCAACATATCAAAAGTTATGGTATGCAGCAAAGGTAGTGTTCAGAAGGAACTTTATAGCTATAAACACCTATATTCAAGAAGATCTCAAATCCATAACCTAATCTTCCATCTGAAGATACTAAAAAAAGAAAAATGAACTATGTCTCAAAGCGAAAATAAGAAAGAAAACAGTATAAATAACAGTGGATATAAACAAAATAAAAAATTAAAGAAGAATGGGTAAGATTAATGAAACTAAAAGTTTCTTCTCTAAAAAGATCAGCTAAATTGGTAAATCTTTAAGTAGATTTACAGAGAGAGAAGGAGAAGGACTCAAATTTCTAAAATCAGAAATAATAGAGGGAAAGTTATTACCAATCTTATAGAAATAAAAGGTATTCTAAGAGAATACTATGAATAATTGTTCATCAACAAATTAGATAACCTACATGAAACAGACCAAATCCTAGAAAGACACAAGCTACTCAAATTATTTCAAGGTTAATTGGAAAATATGAATAGGCCTATTTAAATTACAAAGGTTGAATGTGTAAATGCAAACTACCCAACAGCTGGGTGTGGTGGCTCACACTTATAATCCCAGCACTTTGGAAGGCTGAGCTACGAGGATCACTTGAAGCCAGAAGTTTGAGAACAGCCTGGGCAACATAGTAAGACCTCATATTACAAAAATAAAAATAAAAATTAGCCATGAATGGTGGTTTGGGCACCTGCAGTCTCAGCTACTCAGGAAGCTAAGGCAGAAGAATTCGTTTAGCCCAGGACTTTGAGGCTTCAGTGAGCTATAATCATGTCACTGTATTTTAGTCTGGGTAACAGAGCAAGATCATGTCAAAAAAAAAGAAAGAAAAAAGAGAAGAGAAAAGAAAAGAAAGAGAAAGAAGAAAAGAAGGAAAAAAAGAGAGAGAGAGAGAGGAATGAAAGAAACGAAGGAAGGAAGGGAGGGAGGGAGGGAGGGAGGGAGGGAAGGAAGGAGGGAAGGAAGGAAGAGAGAGATAGAAAAGAAAGAAAAGAAAAGAAAAAAGAAAAAGGAAAGGAAGAGGAGAGAGGGAGGTAGGGAGGAGGGAAGGAAAGAAGGAAGGAAGGAAGGAAGGAAGGAGGGAGAGAGGGAGGGAGGGAAGGAAGGAAGGAGGGAGAGAGGGAGGGAAGGAAGGAAGGAAGGAAGGAAGGAGGGAGGGAGGGAGGGAGGGAGGGAGGCAGGCAGGCAGGCAGGCAGACAACTCAAAAAAGAGGCCCTGGGTTCAGGGGGTTGCTCTGGTGAATTCTACTTAAATTTTTAGAATAACTAATATCAATTTTTCAAACTCTTTTTAAAAAATATTAGAAGAGAAGAAACACTTTCCAAGTATTTCTGATGTCAGTATTACAGTGATACTAAAATCAGGCAAAGACATTATAAGAAAGCTACAGACCGATATATATTAATACAGACATAAATATATATAGACAAAAATATATATTAATATAGGCATAAACATTCTCAAGAAAATACTAGCAAACCAAATCCATCAACATTAAAAAAAGATTATATAGCATGTACAAGTGCAGTGTATCCCAGGACTGCAAGATTGGTTTAAAACCCAGAAATTAATTAATTTAATACCCAATAGCGATATAATAAAATATTTTTTAAAACACATGATTATCTCTATAGATTCTGGAAAAAAAATTTACAAAATCCAACAGCCTTTCATAATAAAACACTCAGCAAACTAGAATAGAAGGGAACTTCCTCAGCCTGAGAAAGTGTATCTATGAAAATCCATAAATAACATCATGCATAATGGTAAGAGAATGAATGTTT